AAACGGTATAGATGCGTATGGTTTATTTGAAAATGCATGACAGCATATTTTTTTTACAGGAATATTATATTAATTTCCCGTTAAAAAAACATATAAAAAAAGAGTTCAAATGTTGCGAAAAATAACGTTATTAACAATTTAACAACATACCACTTTATTATTTTAAACTTGGTAGGATACAAAAGAGAAAATACTCGAAATCTATGTATATAAAATTGTTTGTCCTGACTGACTGACCTATCAACGTACAGCCAAAACTACTAAGCCCTAGAAAGCTGAAATTTGGAACATAGGTTTATTATATAACATAAGCATCCGCTAAGAAAGAATTTTTGGAAATTTGAATTTTAAAGGGGGGAAATGGGAGGAAATGGGGGAGGGAGCTTTTAATGAAACTGTGTTCTTTAAAGTTAGAAACATGAAAATTTAAATTACAACTACTGAACATAAATAAATGATGATGTGTTTCAGGGTTTTTGGATTTTTTACATTTTAAGGGGGGAAAAACGGGGGGGTGAAAGTTTGTAAGGGACTATCGATTTTTTTGGTCTCTATTAAGTTAGAAACATGAAAATTGGAATTGCTGCTAATGAGTACAAATTAATAATAACGTGTTTTAGGGTTTTTAAATTTTCACATTTTAAGGGGGGGAACAGGGGGTGAAAGTTTATTTGGAAATACCGATTTTTTTTAAAGGTGGGAACTTGAAAATTGGAATTGTAGGTTCTCATAATAAATAAATAATGAGATGTTTCACGGTTTTTGGATTTTCACATTTTAAGGGGGGAAAACGGGGGTGAAAACTAATAAAAATTACTAAAAATTATTAAAAATAAATTAAAATAAATAAAAATTAACAAAAATTAATAAAAATTAACAAAAATTAATAAAAATTAATAACACTTAATAAAAATGAATAAAAATGAATAAAAAAAAATAAAATAAAAATTAATAAAAATTAATAAAAATTAATAAAAATTAATAAAAATTAATAAAAATTAATAAAAATTAATAAAAATTAATAAAAATTAATAAAAATTAATAAAAATTAATAAAAATTAATAAAAATTAATAAAAATTAATAAAAATTAATAAAAATTAATAAAAATTAATAAAAATTAATAAAAATTAATAAAAATTAATAAAAATTAATAAAAATTAATAAAAATTAATAAAAATTAATAAAAATTAATAAAAATTAATAAAAATTAATAAAAATTAATAAAAATTAATAAAAATTAATAAAAATTAATAAAAATTAATAAAAATTAATAAAAATTAATAAAAATTAATAAAAATTAATAAAAATTAATAAAAATTAATAAAAATTAATAAAAATTAATAAAAATTAATAAAAATTAATAAAAATTAATAAAAATTAATAAAAATTAATAAAAATTAATAAAAATTAATAAAAATTAATAAAAATTAATAAAAAGTAATAAAAATTAATAAAAATTAATAAAAATTAATAAAAATTAATAAAAATTAATAAAAATTAATAAAGATTAATAAAAATTAATAAAAATTAATAAAAATTAATAAAAATTAATAAAAATTAATAAAAATTAATAAAAATTAATAAAAATTAATAAAAATTAATAAAAATTAATAAAAATTAATAAAAATACATAAATTTTAATAAAAATTATTAAAAATTAATAAAAATTAATAAAAATTAATTAAAATTAATAAAAATTAATAAAAATTAATAAAAATTAATAAAAATTAATAAAAATACATAAATTTTAATAAAAATTATTAAAAATTATTAAAAATTATTAAAAATTATTAAAAATTAATAAAAATTAATAAAAATTATTAAAAATTATTAAAAATTAATAAAAATTAATAAAAATTAATAAAATTTAATAAAAATTAATAAAAAATAATAAAAATTAATAAAAATTAATAAAAATTAATAAAAATTAATAAAAATTAATAAAAATTAATAAAAATTAATAAAAATTAATAAAAATTAATAAAAATTAATAAAAATTAATAAAAATTAATAAAAATTAATAAAAATTAATAAAAATTAATAAAAAGTAATAAAAATTAATAAAAATTAATAAAAATTAATAAAAATTAATAAAAATTAATAAAAATTAATAAAGATTAATAAAAATTAATAAAAATTAATAAAAATTAATAAAAATTAATAAAAATTAATAAAAATTAATAAAAATTAATAAAAATTAATAAAGATTAATAAAAATTAATAAAAATTAATAAAAATTAATAAAAATTAATAAAAATTAATAAAAATTAATAAAAATTAATAAAAATTAATAAAAATTAATAAAAATTAATAAAAATTAATAAAAATACATAAATTTTAATAAAAATTATTAAAAATTAATAAAAATTAATAAAAATTAATTAAAATTAATAAAAATTAATAAAAATTAATAAAAATTAATAAAAATTAATAAAAATACATAAAAATTAATAAAAATTAATAAAAATTAATAAAAATTAATAAAAATTAATAAAAATTAATAAAAATTAATAAAAATTAATAAAAATTAATAAAAATTAATAAAAATTAATAAAAATTAATAAAAATTAATAAAAATTAATAAAAATTAATAAAAAGTAATAAAAATTAATAAAAATTAATAAAAATTAATAAAAATAATAAAAATTAATAAAAATTAATAAAAATTAATAAAAATTAATAAAAATTAATAAAAATTAATAAAAATTAATAAAAATTAATAAAAATTAATAAAAATTAATAAAAATTAATAAAAATTAATAAAAATTAATAAAAAGTAATAAAAATTAATAAAAATTAATAAAAATTAATAAAAATTAATAAAAATTAATAAAAATTAATAAAGATTAATAAAAATTAATAAAAATTAATAAAAATTAATAAAAATTAATAAAAATTAATAAAAATTAATAAAAATTAATAAAAATTAATAAAAATTAATAAAAATTAATAAAAATTAATAAAAATACATAAATTTTAATAAAAATTATTAAAAATTAATAAAAATTAATAAAAATTAATTAAAATTAATAAAAATTAATAAAAATTAATAAAAATTAATAAAAATTAATAAAAATACATAAATTTTAATAAAAATTATTAAAAATTATTAAAAATTATTAAAAATTATTAAAAATTAATAAAAATTAATAAAAATTATTAAAAATTATTAAAAATTAATAAAAATTAATAAAAATTAATAAAATTTAATAAAAATTAATAAAAAATAATAAAAATTAATAAAAATTAATAAAAATTAATAAAAATTAATAAAAATTAATAAAAATTAATAAAAATTAATAAAAATTAATAAAAATTAATAAAAATTAATAAAAATTAATAAAAATTAATAAAAATTAATAAAAATTAATAAAAATTAATAAAAATTAATAAAAATTAATAAAAATTAATAAAAATTAATAAAAATTAATAAAAATTAATAAAAATTAATAAAAATTAATAAAAATTAATAAAAATTAATAAAAATTAATAAAAACTAATAAAAATACATAAATTTTAATAAAAATTATTAAAAATTATTAAAAATTATTAAAAATTATTAAAAATTATTAAAAATTATTAAAAATTATTAAAAATTATTAAAAATTATTAAAAATTATTAAAAATTATTAAAAATTATTAAAAATGATTAAAAATTATTAAAAATTAATAAAAATTAATAAAAATTAATAAAAATTAATAAAAATGAACAAAAATGAATAAAAATGAATAAAAATGAATAAAAATGAATAAAAATGAATAAAAATGAATAAAAATGAATAAAAATGAATAAAAATGAATAAAAATGAATAAAAATGAATAAAAATGAATAAAAATGAATAAAAATGAATAAAAATGAATAAAAATGAATAAAAATGAATAAAAATGAATAAAAATGAATAAAAATGAATAAAAATGAATAAAAATGAATAAAAATGAATAAAAATGAATAAAAATGAATAAAAATGAATAAAAATGAATAAAAATGAATAAAAATGAATAAAAATGAATAAAAATGAATAAAAATGAATAAAAATGAATAAAAATGAATAAAAATGAATAAAAATGAATAAAAATGAATAAAAATGAATTAAAATGAATAAAAATGAATAAAAATGAATAAAAATGAATAAAAATGAATAAAAATTAATAAAAATTAATAAAAATGAATAAAAATGAATAAAAATGAATAAAAATGAATAAAAATGAATAAAAATGAATAAAAATGAATAAAAATGAATAAAAATGAAAAAAAAAAATGAAAAAAAATATGAATAAAAATGAATAAAAATGAACAAAAATGAATAAAAATGAAATAAAAATGAATAAAAATGAATAAAAATGAATAAAAATGAATACAAATGAATAAACATTTTAAAAAAACGAATACAAATGAATAAACATTTAAAAAAAATGAATAAATATAAAAAATGAAAATCGATAACAATGAATAAAACTGAATAAAATTAATAAAAAAGCAAGTCATAGCATAGCGGTCGTAGCCGAGAGCTAGCCTCAGACATCTGTTTTGGGCCCTTTGCAGGAGTAGAAAATATGATTTTCGCATTGAGCAGTATACTGGACAACCATATGTCAGTATAAGCCAGAATATTGTTTTAAAAAGTAGAATTTTGTTCGACAGTGATAGTTTACTCCGTCTCTTCATTAAAGGGTACAAGGACCTCAAAATAGCCTAACTTTTAGCCATCAGTTTTTTATGTGGGCCTTGAACAATAATGTTTTATCCAGCAGAAACCCAAAGATATTTAATTTTCCTTTTTACGGCAATTGGTTGATTTTGAACCTGAAGGGGCGTGTCTACACCTTGGACACGCCTTTTTGAGAGTATTACCGTTTCAGTTTTGATAGAATGTTATTTCAGATAATTTCTTTATATAAATATCTATTAGGTAGCTACAAATACGTTGAGCACAGGCAACTATTGTTTAACTTTTAATATGTACAGTATACTTAGTTTGCAAACGACATAAAAGTAGAAAAAACGTTAATTGAAATCACGATTAGCTATTTGAAGGATTCGTGAACACAATATGGCGGAAATGAATCTGTCTTGGACCACGTGACGGCGTCTCCTTACCTTCTACCTCCATAAATATGACCTGCTTTTCATCGTCAATAATATATGGATAAGCAGTCTATATAAACTATATCATTGGTTTTAATTTGTAAAATTGAGACTTTCATATGTCACCGTTGGCGACACTGCGTTCATTTGGAGGGAAATTTTCTGTCACCTGTCAGTATTGTCAGTCAACAACCAGTTATTTGCCATTTTCAAAATTAATAACAATTTTTATAAGTTTTTCGATTATATACATTTTAAAACAAATGGATATGGAAGTAGACACTGTAGAAATAGTTGATAATCCCGTCGCAGGACCTTCTAAAAGACCTGATGAAGCAGCACATAATAAAAAGCATTGCAATTTGCCTTGGTAATATATGTTATAATTCTACAATTATTATTATAATAAACCTTCTATTTTTAATAGGATTGAAAAATACAGACCTCACACATTCGAAGAAATAGTAGGTAACGAAGATACCATCGAAAGGTTATCTATTTTTTCCAAAAAAGGAAATGTACCCAACATTATAATAGCTGTATGTATAAACACAAACAAATTTTAATAATATTTATTTAAAATTACTTAATAGGGTCCACCCGGTGTTGGAAAAACTACAACTATATTATGTCTAGCTAAAATATTACTAGGTCCATCTTTTAAAGATGCAGTCTTAGAGTTAAACGCATCCAATGATAGAGGTATTGATATAGTTAGAAATAAAGTTAAAATGTTTGCTCAACAGAAAGTTACTTTACCACCAGGAAGGCACAAGATGATTATTTTAGATGAAGTTGACAGGTAAGATTTGTTTACTTTAGAAATCAAGTGGTACAATGTTTTACAGATGAAAAAAAAATTACTGGTACCGGTTAAGAATCCAGATGCAAGAATTTCGAAATTCTATCACTATATTATTGAAGTAACTTTTTATAATATTTCAACAAAAATTAGATACGGAAAAGTATCTTTTTTTGCAATTTTAACACGTTAAGCGCCACAGTACTGCCCTATTTGAATTCTAAATATTAGCTAGTGGTGTTATTATTGAAATTTTTAGATGATCTGGAACTGTATTAGTTTCCAACAAGGAATTTATTATATTTTGCATTATTTAGCTAATTTTTTTCATGTTATTTTACCTAAATACATTTTTTAACCAACCGATGTGCACAGAGAAACAAAAATGGTCACTAAAGGATAATGGCTCAAGATAAAATGTTTATAAGGTCCTAAGACATAAAGGAAGCTTTTTAGAAAGATTCTTCAGAGGTATTAGAATAACACTGGCAATATTGATTTATTAGTATAGAAAAGATTGTCCCAATAACAGATATACCAATAATAAACAAAAAATACAACTTTATTATGCAAAAATAATATACATTTCGAGAACCACAATGTAGGACCTTGTAACTAACATTTCCACTGAAAGTATTACAATTTTTTAAACAAAATTTCTGTAAATATTACTCCTATTATACAGGGTGATTCATAAGTACTTTGACAAACTTCAGGAAATGAGTCTTTGAGTAATGTTAAGGTAAAAAGTTCATATAAACATGTGTCCGGAAATGGATGGTTTTCAAGATACAGGGTGTTAAATTTTTTAAAAAAAAATCGTTTTTTTATCATATCTTTCATACCACTGAAGATAATTTAATGAAATTTGGTACACGTTGTTTTACCATAAAATGACATTTTCTGATGCTATTAACTTTATTTTTATTTTCACCAGTGGCGTCCCTACGGAATTTAAACTAAATATTATTGAAGAAAAAAATGGTACGCCACTGGTTTTTTAAAAAATAATTTTTTTTTTAAAATCTACATTTAATTTGGAACAAATTTGATCTCTTGACTTTTGTTCGTAAGACGCACCGTTTTCGCGTAAAAAAATTTGTACAATGTCGGTAAAAATGCAAATCATTTGACGTAGGGACGCCACTGATGAAAATAAAAAAAAGTTAAGCGCATCAGAAAATGTCATTTTATGGTAAAACAACGTGTACCGAATTTCATTAAATTATCTTCAGTGGTATGAAAGATATGATAAAAAAAACGATTTTTTTTCTTAAAACTTTAACACCCTGTATCTTGAAAACCATCCATTTCCGGGCACATGTTTATATGAACTTTTTACCTTAAAATTACTCAAAGAATCATTTTCTGAAGTTTGTCAAAGTACTTATGATTCACCCTGTATAATAAAATTAATAATTTGTTTCCGGTCAAGAATCCGGATGCAAGAATTTCGAAATTTTATCACTATATTATTGAAGTAACTTACTTTTTATAATATTTCAACAAAAAAAAGATACGGAAAAGTATCTTTTATTTGCAATTTTAACACGTTAAGCGCCACAGTAAAATCTGAAAAGTAGCAGTCAAAAGTAAAAGAGATATATATTTTATAAAAATGATTTTAAAGTTCTAAGACATTAATGTATCGCTTCAAATCGATTCACCTACACCGCATGGCTCGTATATTCTTTTCCTTACCTATTCAATTAGCTATTAACGGAATTTTTACAATTTATTTTAGTATGACTGATGGCGCACAACAGGCTTTAAGAAGAACAATGGAAATATACAGCAACACTACCAGGTTTGCTTTGGCTTGTAATTACAGTGAAAAAGTTATAGAAGCCATTCAATCGCGTTGCGCCATTTTGAGGTACTCAAAATTAACAGATTCGCAAGTCATGGCACGAATTTTACAGATTTGTGAAAAAGAAAATGTAAGAAAATTAATTTTTTATTATTTTTTTTTATTTTTATTATTTTATTTATTAATATGGAGCTCGAAAATATTAAAATAAAACCCGGGAGGGTTTTTGGGGTCTCTGATTTTGAATATGACATTAAAAATGTCAAATAGAAAATGGCAGATCCAATATGGCGCACAAAAATATTAAAAATTGCGTGTTTATTAAACCTTGGGGATTTATAAGGGGTTTTTTTAGGTCACTAATCAATATGCCGCACAAAAATATTATAAATATTGTGTTTTGTATAAAAATTAAAACTGGGGGTTTTTGAGGTCACTAATTTTGAGTATGACATTAAAAATTGGAAATACAAAATGGCGGATCCAATATGGCGCCAGAAAATGTTGAAAACAGCTTGTTTTGCATAAAAATTAAACCTACCGGGTTTCTAAGGGGTTTTTGAGGTCGCTAATTTTGTATATAACATTAAAAATTAGAAATATAAAATGGCGAATCCAATATGGCGCCGGAAAATATTAAAATTTCCTTTTTTTGCATTAAAATGAAATATGAAGGTTTTGAGGATCTCTGATTACGAATGTGACATTAATAATATCAAATAAAAAATGGCGGAAGGGGTTTTGGGGATCACTGATTTTGAATATGACATTAGAAATGTCAAATAGAAAATGGCGGATTCAATATGGCGCCAGAAAATATTAAAAATTGCTTGTTTTACTTACAAATTAAACTTAAGGGGTTTTTGATGTTAGAAATTTTGAGTATGACATTAAAAATTGAAAATACAAAATGGCGGATCCAATATGGCGCACAAAAATATTAAAAATTGTGTTTTGCATAAAAATTAAAACTGGGGGGGTTTTGAGGTCGTTGATTTTGAATATGACATTAAAAATATGAAATAAAAAATGGCGAATCCAATATGGCGCACAAAATATTAAAAATTGTTTAGTTTTACATAAAAATTTAACCTAGAGGGTTTCTATAAGGGATTTTAGAGGCTATCGATCTTGAATATGACAAAATTGAAATGCAAAATGGCGGATCCAATATGGCGCACAAAATATTAAAAATTGCTTGTTTTACATAAAAATTTAACCTGGAGGGTTTCTATAAGGGATTTTAAAGGTTACCGATCTCGAATATGATATAAAAAATTTAAAATGCAAAATGGCGAATCCAATATGGCGCCGGAAAATATTAAAAATTTCCTTGTTTTTCATTAAAATTAAATTAAAATGAAACCCGAAGTGGTTTTTGGGGTTAGTGATTTTGAATATGACAATAAGATGAAATATAAAATGGCGGATTCACTATAGAGCCATAAAATATTAAAAATAGCTTATTATGCATACAAATTAAACCTAGCGGGTTCTTATGGGGTTTTTGAAGTCACTAATTTTGTATATGACAATAAAAATTAGAAATACAAAATGGCGAATCCAATATGGCGCCGGAAAATATTAAAAATTGTATGTTTTGCATAAAAATAAAACCTGGGGGATTTATAAGTGGTTTTTGAGGGCACTGACTTTGAGTATGACATTAAAAAATGGCGGATCCAATATGGCGTCAGAAAATATTAAAAATAGCTTATTTTGAATAAAAATTAAATCTAAGGGGTTTTTGAGGTCACTAATTTTGTATATGACAATAAAAATTAGAAATACAAAATGGCGAATCCAATATGGCGCCGAAAAATATTAAAAATTGTATGTTTTGCATAAAAATAAAACCCGGGGGATTTATAAGTGGTTTTTGAGGGCACTGACTTTGAGTATGACATTAAAAAATGGCGGATCCAATATGGCGTCAGAAAATATTAAAAATAGCTTATTTTGCATAAAAATTAAATCTAAGGGGTTTTTGAGGTCACTAATTTTGTATATGACAATAAAAATTAGAAATACAAAATGGCGAATCCAATATGACGCCGGAAAATATTAAAAATTGTATGTTTTGCATAAAAATAAAACCTGGGGGCTTTAAAAGCGGTTTTTGAGGGCACCGACTTTGGGTATGACTTAAAAAAATGGCGGATCCAATATGGCGTCAGAAAATATTAAAAATAGCTTATTTTGCATAAAAATTATATCTAAGGGGTTTTTGAGGTCACTAATTTTGTATATGACAATAAAAATTAGAAATACAAAATGGCGGATCCAATATGACGCCGGAAAATATTAAAAATTGTATGTTTTGCATAAAAATAAAACCTGGGGGATTTAAAAGCGATTTTTGAGGGCACCGACTTTGAGTATGACAATTAAAAATGGCGGATCCAATATGGCGTCAGAAAATATTAAAAATAGCTTGTTATTCATATAAATTAAACCTAGCGGGTTCTTAAGGGGTTTTTGAGGTCACTAAATTTGTATATAACAATAAAAATTAAAAATACAAAATGGCGAATCCAATATGGCGCCGGAAAATATTAAAAATTGTATGTTTTACATAAAAATAAAACCTGGGGGATTTAAAAGCGGTTTTTGAGGGCACCGACTTTCAGTATGATATTAAAAAATGGCGGATCCAATATGGCGTCAGAGAATATTAAAAATAGCTTATTTTGCATAAAAATTATATCTAAGGGGTTTTTGAGGTCACTAATTTTGTATATGATAATAAAAATTCTAAATACAAAATGGCAAATCCAATATGGCGCCGGAAAATATTAAAAATTGTATGTTTTGCATAAAAATAAAACCTGGGGGATTTAATAGCGGTTTTTGAGGGCACCGACTTTCAGTATGATATTAAAAAATGGCGGATCCAATATGGCGTCAGAAAATATTAAAAATAGATTGTTATGCATATAAATTAAACCTAGCGGGTTCTTAAGGGGTTTTTGAGGTCACTAATTTTGTATATGACAATAAAAATTAGAAATACAAAATGGTGGATCCAATATGGCGTCAGAAAATATTAAAAATAAAACATGGAGGATTTCTAAGGGATTTTCCAGAAAAACGTCAAAAATATTCTAATTTATGAGGAATGGAGTAGAATTTGTGAATAAAAAAATGCTTGTAAGGGCAATAATTTTAGTTGGGAGCTATCAAACCACTTTTCGACTTTTGGTTCATATTTTACACATATTTCAAGGTTTATTAATTTGTATTCTTACCTTTAAAAAACCGAAAGTCTCATACAAACTTTCACCTCCCGCTTCCCCGTTAATGTCTAATTATTTATAGTAAGTAGTTAGAATGTTAATATTCAATTTTTTATACAAACTTTCCCCCTTTGTCTCCCATTTCTCCCAATTTATTTCCTTCTCCCCTTTCCCCGTTAAAATATGATAATTCAAAAACCCTGAAACACGTCATTATTTATTCTCTGTCAAAAATATATTCCCACGGGAAACGTATATTTTTCCTATCCTATGAGCTATTCCAGTCTATAATCTATATTTGTGCCAAATTTCATCCAGATCCGTTCAGCCGTTTTTGCGTGATTGAGCAACAAACTTTCGAATTTGTATATTAGTAAGATTTTTATTTCTTTAACCTAAATACCTTAAAAAAATTAATTTCTCATGTACTTCTCTTGTCTAAACTAATTTTTAGATAGTTCTAATTTGTTTGTCCATCTTTTTCTCTATGTTCTTGCATTTTTTTGTATACTAGCATCAATAGAAAGATAAAAGTCAACACTACAAATTATTCTCAGTAGCTTTATGCCAGGACATTTATTAGATTCTCCAAACTTTTTTTTAGAATCTGATTTGAGTACGTTGTTGCTATTCTCTAGGCTGTAGTGTGAGGAGCCGATCTACCCTCACTGAGAGCTCCATCGTTGTTCAGAACGGCCCTGTTCATTTTGTCAGGGCTGTGAGAGTCTTTGTTGGAATCTTCTAAGTCATTTATTAGATTCTCCAAACTTTTTTCCAATAATTTTCATAAATTATTTAAAACGTATTATCATTCTGTACGTTTAATTTCTCTTACAAAATATTATTGACTGGCAAGATGGTACAACTTTTCTATATATTTAAAATAATAAAATAAAAACCATCTTTTCAATACGAAAATTATCTATAGGTGAAATACACCGATAGCGGCATCGAAGCGATAGTTTTCACCGCCCAAGGCGATATGCGGCAAGCTCTAAATAACCTCCAATCGACCCATAACGGTTTCGGGGAGGTCAATTCGGGAAACGTCTTCAAAGTTTGCGACGAGCCGCATCCGATGCTTATCAAAGATATGTTAAAAAGTTGTATGGAAGGCGACATCAGAAAAGCTTACAAGGTGATCGAACATTTGTGGAATTTAGGGTACGCCGCTGAGGATATTATTAAGAATATTTTTAAAGTGTGCAAGAATATGGATATGGAAGAAGGTTTGAAACTTGATTTTATAAAGGTAATGATTAATTTTAATGGTTTTTATATGTATTTAATTTTCTTAAATTTCCGGTAACATATTTTCAACGATTTTCTGTTACAATAATCGTCAGGATTTTCATGGGTAAAATGTATAAGAGTATCGTCTCATTAAAATAAATATGAATACCTAAAATTCAATTTAAAATGCCAAAAAAAATTAGATCGATAAATAGAAAGATCAAATCAACTAAAAAAGTGTTTGTGATAGGATAAACTGGTGTCTTTGGCAGTGGAGTGTCGTTAAAAAGGGATCCTAATTTAATTTGCCAAAACTTTTTATTATTACATTATTATTTTTTATTATTTTTTCATATTTTTTGTAGGAAATTGGGTGGACGCATCAGCGTATCGTTGACGGTTTGTGCACGTTAATTCAAATGTCAGGTTTATTAGCAAAATTATGCAAAGCCGCTACAGGAGAAGGAAAGTTTTAAATTTTTTCTATTTTTTATAAATTTATTTTCAAAGTGTATTTTAATTAAAAAAATAAGAAAATGGTGCGTTTTATTAAAGAAAAAATTGGCGTGCAACGGGTACAAAAGAATTAAAATACGAGGGTCAATAAATATCTAGATGTGGCTTTAAGTTGTCAGGAAGTTACTACTCAAGATATTTACTTATTACTAAAAAATATTAATTCCAATTTTGAAGTTCAAAATTGAATGAAAAAATAAATTTTCTGGAAGTGGAAAATAAATTTTTTAAAAATCAGAATTTTTTACATTTTGAAAAATTTCTCGAATACGGACCATTTTAGAGAAATTTTGTATAGAACAAAAAATTATAAAGAATAATATTATAAATAACTCTAAAAACCTTAAAAACGTCTAAAAATGTTAGAAAAACGTTGGAAAACGTCTGAAGATGTCAAAACAAACGTGACAAAGATTGAAAACTTTGAAAAACGTCTAAAACTCTTAAAAAAACGTTGACAAACGTCGAAAAACATAAATTTTTTGAAAATCGTTGAAAAACGTCTAAAAATCTTATAAAAACATTGGAAAACGTCGAAAAACGTCTGAAAATGTTATAAAAACATTGAAAAAACGCCTAAAACAGTTAAAAAAAACGGACTAGTAATAACGGAAATTGAAGCTTAGACTCTTTCAACGTTGAAAAACGATGAAAAACGTCTAAAAATGTTATAAAAACGTTAGAAAACGTCTAAAAATGTTATAAAAAACGTTGAAAAATGTTTAAAACCTAAAAAAAAGTTCGAAAAACGTCTAAAACTGTTTAAAAAAAACCCCGTTGAAAAATGTCGAAAAACCTTAAAAACGTCGAAAAACGTCTAAAAATGTTAGAAAAACGTTAGAAAACGTCTAAAAATATAAAAAAACGGGAAAAAGATTGAAAACGTTGAAAACGTCTAAAACTCTTAAAAACACGTTGACAAACGTCTAAAACTCTTAAAAAAAACACGTTGACAAACGTCTAAAAACATAAAAATTTTGAAAATCGTTGAAAAACGTCTAAAAATCTTATAAAAACGTTGGAAAACGTCTAAAAATGTTATAAAAACGATAGAAAACGTCTAAAAATGTAAAAAAAAACGGGAAAAAGATTGAAAACGTTGAAAACGTCTAAAACTCTTAAAAACACGTTGACAAACGTCTAAAACTCTTAAAAAAAACACGTTGACAAACGTCTAAAAACATAAAAATTTTGAAAATCGTTGAAAAACGTCTAAAAATCTTATAAAAACGTTGGAAAACGTCTTAAAATGTTATAAAAACGATAGAAAACGTCTAAAAATGTAAAAAAACGGGAAAAAGATTGAAAACGTTGAAAACGTCTAAAACACTTAAAAACACGTTGACAAACGTCTAAAACTCTTAAAAAAACACGTTGACAAACGTCTAAAAACATAAAAATTTTGAAAATCGTTGAAAAACGTCTAAAAATCTTATAAAAACGTTGGAAAACGTCTAAAAATGTTATAAAAACGTTATAAATCGTCTAAAAATGTTATAAAAAACGTTTTAAAATGTCTGAAACCGTTGAAAAATCTAAAAAAGTTATAAAACAGTTTGAAAAACGTTAAAAAACACTGAAAAACGTCTAAAACTGTTAAAAACCCGTTGAAACACGTCGAAAAAACCTTAAAAACGTCGAAAAACGTCTAAAAATGTTTAAAAAAACGTTGGAAAACGTCTAAAGATGTCAAAAAAAAAAACGTGAAGAAGATTGAAAACTTTGAAAAACGTCTAAAACTCTTAAAAAACGTTGACAAACGTCGAAAAATATAAAATTTTTGAAAATCGTTGAAAAACGTCTAAAAATCTTATAAAAACATTGAAAAACGTCTGAAAATGTTATAAAAACGTTAAAAAACATTGAAAAAACGCCTAAAACAGTTAAAAAACGGACTAGTAATAACGGAAATTGAAGCTTAGACTCTTTCAACGTTGAAAAACGATGAAAAACGTCTAAAAATGTTATAAAAACGTTAGAAAACGTCGAAAAACGTCTAAAAATGTTATAAAAAAAGTTCGAAAAACGTCTAAAACTGTTTAAAAAAAACCCGTTGAAAAATGTCGAAAAACCTTAAAAACGTCTAAAAATGTTAGAAAAACGATAGAAAACGTCTAAAGATGTAAAAAAACGTGAAAAAGATTAAAAACGTTGAAAAACGTCTAAAACTCTTAAAAATACGTTGACAAACGTCTAAAACTCTTAAAAAACACGTTGACAAACGTCGAAAAACATAAAATTTTTGAAAATCGTTGAAAAACTTCTAAAAATCTTATAAAAACGTTGGAAAACGTCTAAAAATGTTATAAAAAACGTTTAAAAATGTCTGAAACCGTTGAAAAACCTAAAAAAGTTATAAAACAGTTTGAAAAACGTTAAAAAACACTGAAAAACGTCTAAAACTGTTAAAAACCCGTTGAAACACGTCGAAAAACCTTAAAAACGTTGACAAACGTCGAAAAACAAAAATTTTGAAAATCGTTGAAAAACGTCTAAAAATCTTATAAAAACATTGGAAAACGTCGAAAATCGTCTGAAAATGTTATAAAAACGTTAAAAAACATTGAAAAACGCCTAAAACAGTTAAAAATAGACTAGTAGTAACGGAAATTGAAGTTTAGGCCCTTCTAGCAATCGTCTGATTTTTCTGTTCGACGTTCCCTCCCATTCTCCCGCTCCCTTTCACTCTGCCTCACTCTTACTTACTGAATCTGTACCTCTTACTTTTACACATTGAATTCCCTATTATAGATAATAATATTGTAAGTAACTTTTATTTGAAGAATTTTCTCATTTTAGAGATAATTTTGTAAAGTATACTACCACATGTTGTTAGTCAATCTCTTTATTTTTCGTTTTGCATTTACATTTATATTATCACAGAATAAACAATATACAATAACAATTAATATTATTTAATTATTTAAATGTACATTAGAAAAATATTTTTATTCCAATTTCAGTCTCTCTAGTTCAATGTTTTGAAAATAATTTTGAAATAAGTCAGCATTTTTATTATTATAAATTAGATACGAAATTGCAACGTGTTTATTATTAATTGCATATGAAATTAAACATTTTAATTCAATAAATAATTAATTTCATATACAGGATGTTAATTTAATTGGTGAATATAAAGAAAAATGTTCAAATCTGTATATCTATGGTTCGAACAAACATAAATTTATTTTTTATTTAGAAATAAAATACAAACTAGTTTAAATATTTTTATTTTACAATATATAAAGTTTTCTACACCATAGCCAATTATTTGTTTATGACGAAACAAATCCTCCATCAATTGGTAAACACATTCCAGTAATCATACTAGCTTTATCGCTGATTAAAAATGTTACCGCATCGACAACTTCTTGTATTTCCCCGAATCTTCCTAACGGAATCTTCTCCAACATCGGCTTCATTACGTCGGGATCAGACCAAACCAACTTACCCATATCTGTCCAAATGACAGTCGGATTAACAGCGTTGAATCTGATGTTTTTCGGACCGTATTCTAGAGCAGCAGCTCTGGTGAAGCTGTCCACTGCGCCCTTTGAGGCGCCGTATACGGTGTGATTGTTCAAACCTACTAAGGAAGCTTGGGATGAGATATTGACTATGCTGCCTGGTGCTTTTCGTTTGATGAGGTTTCTGACGACGATTTTCGAGACGTTGATAACGGTTTTGACGTTAATTGCAAACACCCTGTTGGAATATTTAGAAATATGAGATTATATCGACGAAATAGTGAATTTTTTATCGAAATTGGCAAAATGTTATCAACGTTAAGCCATCTTCAGTGTATGTTAGCAGGTAAACAAATTTTTGTGTGATATTTAAAATATAATGTATATAACAGCGGCAGTCAAGAGCAAAATACCGCCGACACCTCTCCGGGTAGAACGAATTGAGTCGCCTTGAGTGTCTAGTTCTCATGCATTGCATTCTATCGGTGATCATTTGGTAACTAAATAATAATTTGACTTGATAATTATTAAAATCTATTATGTAAATATAAAATAATTTACAGTATTACAATTTTATAGCCACAGTAGCAACTAATTTTGATAGATGTTGTATTTAAGAATACTTTTGTTTAATAGATGGAGCGGCATTCCATATTTAATAGTTATTTTTTCTAACAGATGGCGTAATAATTCTATTTATTAGATGATAAATTTCTGGAATTCTGACAGCCTGACACTGTGATGTCCGCCCACCCTGCGCAATATACAGTGTTGCCATCCAATTTTAACAGAAATTTCCACAGATGCCCAAATAAAACCGCAGAATTTTATAATTCCCACAATTTTTCCCATATCCGTTTTTAATTGATAAAAAAAATACATTTTGTTTTAAAAAGACGTATTTAAATTTAAAAAATAATAGAATAAACGTTAAACGACAGTAAAATTGCAATAACATGACTTTCGTATCTAATTAATAATAAAAATACCCCCCAGATGTTCCGACTCTGCTAGAAATTTAATCAATTCACCACAGGCCAAAATTTGATGGTTTTCTCTTTATCCATTTTTGAGTTTTCTTCAAAATTTACACATTTTCTCAAATATCTCGAATAAGGTTTATTTTAGGAAAATTTTGTATAAAACAAAAATTATGAAGAATAATATAAGAAATAACTTTTATTTAAAGAATTTTCTTCTCCAAACGTAAATAACTGATATATTACATAAAATATAAAAATTACCACCTATAAAGTACCCTCCCAGATGTTCCGACACTGCCAAAAATCTAATCAGTTCCACGCAAGTCAGAATAAAGCTTAAGTTTAAAATTTGATGTTTTTCCCTTTATCCGTTTTTGAGTTTTCTTTAAAATTCAAAATTTACACTTTTTCACAAATATCTCGAATACGGTCCATTTTAGGAAAATTTTGTATAGAACAAAAATTATAGAGAATAAAATTAGAAGTAACTTTTATTCAAAGAATTTTCTTCTCCAAACGTAAATAACTGATATATTACATAAAATATAAAAATTACCACCTATAAAGTACC